CTCGGGCCGACACGAACTCGACTGACACGGCTTAGCAGATGCACGAGTTTGAAACGGTGCCACAGTCACTGACGTAGAGGCGTGCTTGGACCACGGCTAATGGAACGGCGCATAGACGGTAGGTCGGATGAACTCGGTGCACGGGTACGCACTTAGGGGTTTGACTCGGACTCGGTGCACGGGCACACACTTGGCAGTTCGGATCCAACAGTCGGACGAGAGGCGATCACATGCGCGAGACGACGATACGCATTACAAATTAACGATACGATGTTTAAAAATTATTCAGACGATACTAGGTTTCAGCCAATTATAATCGGATCCAGAAAAATACCCGGTTATCAGAACCGAATAAAACTAGGGTTTCTGATTCTCAAAAATTCTAACTCATTTTAAGCCAATATTTAAATCACTAATTTTTATGTGATTTATATGGATTTTACATCCATCAACTGCAGCTAAAATCATATCTGACTAATTTTTTAGAATATCGCATTCATCGGCTAAAGACCCGATTTTATAACTAAGTCAAATGACATCCAAAATTCATGAAATTCGAAACATAACATCCTCAACATAAACGTGATCTACGGTCAAAATATCAAGTCCAAATTCAACACCTAACTCATTCAACAAGCAATCGCTTCAACCGGTAAATTCATTCAAAAGTCTCGTTCTTCTATCAACAAACTCTAAATATTTCCCTACTCGCATCCTAAGCCTCAAGAAAATTTATTATGATTTACCAAATTTAAATTATCATTTTATCACTATTATTTAACAAGTCCCGAAAAATCTCTTTAAGCTCGTATGTCCCGTTTTTTCCAAAATCGCTCAAATCACATATCATTTTTCTCTTACCTCATTTATATCATTTAGTCTAAGCCAAATAAATCGTATTTTAGTTATTACACCTTAAAATGTTCGAAACAAGCGGATCAGGATAAAAAGAGGTAGATCGAGCTAGAAAATGGTCAACGAAGCAAATCGGTTCAAGCTAGGGCTGTGGGGTCGGATCTTGGAGCTGTGGAGCTGCTGAACGAGCCAGTTTTCGAGTTGCTTGGGTCGATTCACTGCTGAGGATCGCAGATCCGGTCGGCTTGGTGCTAGGTGGTTTGAATCCGAGCTTGAGGATGCTGAAAATAGACTAATGGCGTTGCTGGTTGGGCCGGTGGACTGCAGCTGAGATCGATCGCGCGTTGAGGAGGGATTTTCTGGCGTGAACTCGCCGGAATCAGGCCAAACTCGATCGAGGATGGCTCGAGCATGAAGTTGGTCGCTGGTACGGACGGGATGTGTGGGTACAAGCTCGTTGCGAGCTGAAACGCAGGCTATACGAACTGTGGTACGCGGTGGAGCAGCGGTCTGGTTGCGGGAAGTCGTCGGAAAGACGCGAGCTAGGGTGGTTGTGCTGATTCGATGGATGGCGAGTTGCGGGCTGGAGCAGGTAGGTGCGAGCTCACAGTTTGGGCTAAGGTTTGCTGAACGGGCTTGTGAACGAGGAGCTGGGGTCGGGTCCGAGGTCGTGCTGCTGGAGTGCTCGTCGTCGGCGCGGTTGCGGGCTCACCGGAAAAGAGCTGCAGGTGGCGGTGAGAAGGAGAGCTGCAGGTGAGCTGCGAACCAGCGAGGAGGTGGCGTGGTCCTGGTCGCCGGACGGTGGCGGCTCGCCGGAGCAGGTGGCTGGCCGGAAATAATGAAGGTGGAGA